GATACCTGCTTGTATTACTGTGGTTTGTTCTCCATGCGATTCACTAGCTTGAAAGAGAAGGGAAAGGCAGTGTTATATTGGCTCAAACAACCTCCTTGAAAAACAGACTCCGATTTCTCTGATACTTTGTTGGTTTGAGTACGTGGTTGGGGTTTTTCTGCGTGTCAAATTTTGGTTTTCATTCTTTTTTTTTCTTTTTTCTTTTTCTTTTTTTTTTTTTTTTAATCCTTTGAAATACCAAGACAAATTAATCAATGGAGTGGAATAAATGAACTTTTTGCTGGGGTGTCTGATAAACCTCAACAGAGAGGATAAGGAAATGGAAGAAATTGTGTAGAGAAATGTTAGTTTCAGAAGTGCCTGCAGTGAAAGAAAAATTTGGTTCCAGTGGGCTTATGGGATGTGGCTGTGTCCCAAGCACAGTGTGTCACTCAGTATGCTGCTGAATCTTTTTTTCCCCAGTAATTCAACAGACGACCATGAAATCCCAGTTGTAAGAGAAGTGGAGTAGAGAAGTGCTCTTACGGCATGATTTAGCCATGTAGTTCAGGTGCTTCATGCAGAAACCATCATTTCTGTGCACTCAGAAGACAGCGGTGAGGCTCTGGTTCACGTGCTCAGAGTTGCTCTTTGGAGGTTCTAGTCGCTATCTTTACAGGGACTTAGTATTGAGAGGCTTGTATAGTAGTTTAAGCACCACAGATAACTGGGGTCAAACAGCATGAATTTCTTTCCCCCTCAGCACCTCCCAGGTGTATGAATATAGCAGGAATCCCTCTCTGTATAACAGATGCCATTTTGCTTCTTTTAAGAATGTATGAAACTTCTTTCTAGATGTCAGCTCCTGAAATAGGTTGAAAGAGTATTTCTGTCGATAAAACTCCCTTATAAGATTGCAGTATTTCTTTTCCTGAGAAGTTGTGGATAATCTGTAAGATACATGCTTCCCTGGATAAGTAGCAAAGCTGTGGATCTGTCTGAGACAAAGGAATAGACAAAAAGTTGTAGTGGATGGAAGGACTGCTAATGCAGCACTTGCAGACCAATTCTGCAAACTTTTTGAGTTAATGAAGAAGTGCATCAGTGAGTAGTCTAACAGTGAAAATATTCCTGTGTTTAAAGCTAAGCATGGATGATTCTGCAGGATTAGAACACCAATGATGAGTGTTAAGAGCTTTAGAGGAAAAATTAAATCTTGTCATTTGTCATATTGATGTAAGTTAAACTCTAGATTCATTTTAGCTGAATTACAGTGGTAGCTATTCATGTAGTTAAAGTAGGAATACTTGTAAGCCTGTGTATAATCTTGATGCAGAATGCCTATATAGACC